TCATACGTCCTTCCCCAAGCTGAATTTAGAAGTTGTCCCACGAGGAGGCGATGCCTTGGTATGGTCCAATACGATCGACTCCAAAGTGGACGAGGACATGGTGCATGCTGGAAAGCCTCCTTCCAAGCCAGGAGTCGAGAAGTATGCTGTCAATGTTTGGTTTGGGGAAGAATCCTTTGAAAATCGTATAAAAGAGGGGCAAACGTGGTCATAGCTCATTGTGTTGTACTACTGTAGTGTATTATGCCAGATTTGAATACATTACAATGGGCAATTGCTAACTGCTCATATTTTTGTTACTAGCCCATTTTTGATTTGGCAACCATTTCAAAATCCGACAGCTGATATAGGTGGTTTATGTGAGAGCCGAAACAGCAATAATTTATCAATTTGGATATGAGCATACCGGTAGGACTACAGCAATGATTTACCTGTGATTTCAACAGTCTTCTTGCAAAGTCTTCTAGCTCATGCTTATCTTGCGCAATTTTCCTTCCATATGTTTGCTCCACCAAGCCTTCGATTGCATTCCACAAATCCTCAATTTTCTCCGGAAACGCAGGTTTTGGCGCAGGCAAGACCATATGAGGCGTCGTCCTCATATGGCGAGTGTAAGCACCAGCATATGGAAATGGCGAAACCCAAGGGTAAGAAGTATTACTAGAATGATGCATTCCAACCGCAGCATACCAGTTGGGTACAGGTGGTGCTACGGTTCTTGTGGTCATGACAGGAGCAGGATCATGATGATGAGTACCGGAAGCCTTTCCGTCCATGGTAAACTTTGTACTCGTAGTATCAATCTGTTCAGCAGTTGTAGACGGTGAGACCCAAGGATAAGCAGCATAATTCGTTCCAACAGTAGTATACCAGTTGGGTACAGGTAGTCCCGCTGTTCTTGTCATGACAGCAGTAGCACTGTTTCCGTCTGTGGTGAAGCTTCTACTTGTAGTAGTATTAGCAGTTTGTCCACTAGTGGTAGACAGAGAATTCTCTCGGGCACCCTGACTAT